ACACAAAATGATATAATTTAAAGAAAGCTGAAAACCTGTAACAGTAATTGCATAATAATTTCATACAATGGAAGTCAATGGTTACAGGTTTTCATCTACCTTATTTTGTGTTTAACAGAGGGAAGAAACTCACAACCGTTTGGAATAATGTCAGCGTGAGTAAATAGTGATTAAATTTTAATTTGGGGTCAATTATACCTTAAAGTCCCCATGAACTGGAAGCTGCGACTGTTTTTTTGGGGGGTTTTTTTGTATTGTGACGCAGTTCCTATGAAAAAGGAAAATTAAATGAGAAAGCAGTGGGTGTGGCTTGTTTTTTACCACAAGCTGAATGGATGAAGTAAAGTGGACATTTTATTCAGAAAGATGGGGAAAAGGTTAGTTATTACAATCTAACAGACTTCTGTTTACCATTTCTGTTTGTTGTCAAAACTGACAGTCGAAGGGGCATGGTTAAATATGTTAGCCACACCCAATTCCTAAGATATACATTTATATAATCTGACAATTTAACTGAAAACAAACAAGAGGCCCATTTACAGATTTTAATTAAAGATTTTTTTCTAAAAGACATGCAAAGATTAATTGTTCACCCCCAGAGAAGGCAAAAGTACCCACATCCTTTACTTAAACAGAAGTACAGATATTAATTTTTAAAATTACTCTGGTAAAAGTAGAATAACTGATTACACTTTTGTACCTAAGTAAAAGGAGTACAGTCTCAAAAATGTACAAAGGTAAAAAAGTAAAAAGTCACTGTTTCAACCACAGTCCCAAAGACATGCGGTATAGGTGAATAATAGGTAACTAAATTGGCAGTAGTGTAAGTATGTGTGTGAATGTGAGTCTGTATGGGTGTTTCCCAGTACCGGGTTGCAGTTGGAAGAGTTTCCGCTGTGTAAAGCATGTGCTGGAATAATTGGTGGTTCATTCTGCTGTGGCGACCCCTGATAAACCAAGAACTAAGCTGAAAGATAGTGAGTGACACATGCTATTGATACATTAATATAAACTAACTGACATTTATAATTTTTATGTAAAATGTTTGTAGCCAATTTTATGAAAGTAGCCAAGCAGCATCACACCCTGTAATATAGCCTCACAACATTGCTTAAAAAGTCGGCCCATGCATCATCATCCTGACACAAACTCACAGCATTTGGCATGTAGTTTTGAAACTGTTAGATCAAAAACAACAGCTGCCATTCATGTTGATGCACTCTAAAAATAATTCTGTAGACCTGTCTATGTTTATATATAATCTCTTACATTTTACACTGAATTCTGTTCAAAATATATTATCGTATATAGTCAATAAATTTTTTTTTTTTTTAAATCTATAAAAAACGGAAAAACAGCATAAATTCTGTATTAGGTAATATAAACTTCTTAGAAATAAAGGAATATAAAATTTCAATACATAAAGTTTTTTGTTTGTTTTAGTACTAAATGTACAAATCTTTACAAAAAAAGCACTATTTTACGCAGCATTAGATTGAAAGACCAGAGAAAGCCAGTGCAGTATGATCGGAAGCGAACAAAATAAGCCTTAAGCATTTAAACGGCATATTTTTGACCTTAAATGTTTCTCTCTTGTTTACCCGTGATCTGAACGAGAAAAAAGGTGTCGTACTACCCTGTAAACAGGGCAGCATCAGTCATGTTAAATTCGCCGACTCCCACTTTTTATAAACTAGCCCACGTACGGTGCGCGATAACTTTGAACAGGCCGCGCAGTGCAGCACGCAGACGCGCAATGAGGAAAAATAGATCGACTGCATCAAAACTGCGTTCATATTGCGCAATGACAAGAAAACACTGTCACACTTTACAATAAGGTTCATTAGTTAATGTTAATTAATGCATTTACTAACATGAACAAACAACGAACAATACATTTACTACAGTAATTATTCATGTTAGTGAACGTTAGTTAATGAAAATACAGTAGTTCATTGTTAGTTCATGTTAACTCACGGTGCATTAACTAATGTTAACAAGCACAGACTTAGATGTTATTAATGCATTAGTAAATGTTCAATTATGATTAATAAATGCTGTACATGTGTTGTTCATGATTAGTTCATGTTAGTAAATGCATTAACTAATGAACCTTATTGTAAAGTGTCACCGAAAACACATCAAAAACATGAAATGTAAAGGAGTAGAAAGTACAGATATTTGCATAAAAATGTAATAGGCAAAAGTAAAAATTTGTCCGAAAAATAAGTAACTGAGTAAAGTAATGATACCAGAAAAATCTACTAAAGTACAGTAACAAAGTATTTGGACTTCGTTACTTCCCATCTCTGTTCTGCCCAAAACTAGCAATGTGAGCTAACAAAATCATTTGGTTAGTTTTGATTTCTTGGACACTTTAAGCTGGCATTACTTATACTGATTCCTAAAATTAGTATAACCACACTAGTGCATACACTAAACTGTACATACTGTACTTTAGCTACTGCAGTAATCATGATTGTGTGAGAGATGCTTGAGAGGTGCGCTCACATTGATCTCTGCATCTGAGCTGTTGTGTACTAGGACGGGCGTTAGGCATTTAGAAAGGCCCCTGCTGATTGGCCGATGACAGGTTGTAATCTCTTTACTTATTCTAAGAGGTGCAGTGTTTATCTGGCCAGTCCAAACACTGAGTTTCCATTTCACACCTTCACTGCTCCCAGATTATAAGATGTCAACATATTACAGTCTGGGAATTTTATTGCTTTTATCATTATGCCAGATATAATAATTTCTGTGGTATATGACCTTTTACGAGGTCTCACTCTTGAGTAATTCTGTTGTAATGTCAAGTGAGGTTGTTGTGTAACAGGATTGACACTTATAGTAACACGTGCTTAGTAAGTCTGTAGTACAATTATCCTACTATTTAGACAGATTGCAGTGTGTAGAACAATAGTAAAGATTTTTTTAACATGATTTAGCACCAGTCTGTATTGTTTCTAGATAAATGTACATGTATGAAAAATACCTTAACCTTTGAAAATCTGGACAAGTAATGAACTGATTTCATGACTATTCAGTCAGTCATCAAATATACAAGCCACTAAAGTACTGAAATCCTCATGGAAAAAATACTAACATAATAAATAAATATAACACAAGATGATACAGGAAAAAATATTTGTGCCACCATAAGAAATAAAAACAACTATAATAATAATAATAATAATTATTATTATTATTATTTTTATTATTTAAGAATTAAGAATTTATGAGTTAACAGACAAATTAATCAATAAAGAAATGGATTAATTAACTAAAATATCAAAATATCAGTACAGTACTTTGTGCCTTTTTTAACATTTTTAGAGTGCAATATTTTCAATGTGTTTAATATCAAAAGTTTAATACACTAAAATAAAATACTTAACAATACAATACAAAAATAAATCTGTGCTGGCACAACCTACTCATGGGATTGTTTAATGTTTTTCTTTTGCTTTAAACTGTTAAAAAGTATTCATTTAATGATTCATCTTTTTAATATAACTTTTTAACTATTTAATAACTGATATAATGATATAATAAACACCTTACCCAAGTCTGAAATGTACATAATATAAAATAAAACTAAAATAAGTCAGTTGAATACACAATACTTTCAGTTTCCAGTCCTTCTTTTCCACCGCTGTCTATAATCATCTCTCAGATTGACCTGTGATCTCTTATTAGGCTCTCGAATAATGACGAGACCCCCTGCAGGACTCTTTTTACTATCAAACACCCCATTCTTTTAATGCAGTATTTTTGCTCAATTAAAACTGTTCATGCTTTCTCAAATTAAAGGGTTAGTTCACAAAAATAATAATCATTCACCCTTATATTATTCCAGTCTTGGAGATCTTAGTTCATCAAAATATATCAATAAAGTTTTTTTGCCACCATGGAATAAAAAAATAAAAAATAAAATATATATATATATATATATATATATATATATATAGATGGATGCACTGTAAAACGCAACAGTCCACTTTGTCAAATGAAATGAGTGTAGTTAACAAAAAATACTGAAAGTTAATTTTACATATTTGAAAAGAGTTTTGAACTCATTGTTGAAGGTAATGCATTAATACCTCATTACTTCAACTTAAATAGAGTAAGTTTACAGTACTCATATAGATTCATTTTTTTTAAACTCAAATAGTTTGAGGCAATCAGTTACCTCAAACGGTTTAAGTTATCTTAACTTACTGGGTTTTACAGTACTCAGCTGGTTTGAGTTCTCTTTATTTGTCGCGTTTTACTGTGCTCATTGCTTCTTTTACTCAAATGAATTAAGTTCACAATACTCATTAGTTTTTGGACTTTGTTGCAATCAGTTTTAGTTACCTTAACTTTTTGTTTGTTACAGATAGATAGATGTATTTAGAATCACAACACAGATAAGGCAAACTGTTCTGTTTCTGTCATTATGATTTTATCATTTACATGTACAGTTTTTCATGATCAGATTTTTACATTTTTTTGGGGTTTATGTATATGCATGACTGTTGTTTATTTTGAATCATCCACCTATTTATCAGGCTGCCAATGTTGATATATTTGTAAGATGAAGTGTCTACACTTAAAATTAACGAAAAGTTACGAAAGCATCTTCTGTTAAAATTCAGAAAATGTAGCACAGTATCATTTATCTTATAGTCTCTTCTTTTGTCCAAATTCCAGCATACCTCTATGAACAAGAGGAAAATCATCTATTTGATGATTAAACTAGCCAATAAAATTTGCTTTGGTGAAATAACAATTCATTAAGGTTTACACAATCATGCTAAATGACATAAACAGTTTTTACATTATACAAATGATTAAGCTTTCATGTTACCTTGGCAGCTCTTATTTTTCTTTTACTGTTTTTACTATTATTTAAGAATGTATTCATTTTTTTCATGTTTTTAATTTGTTTATGATTTATCATTTGTTGATTTTGTGTCTTGTTCTGCCTCTGTGTTTGTGCTGAACATCACTTATTTTAGGGAAGCTCCTTCAGAAGACACAAAGCCTCATCCAGCTCAGTGAGTACAAAAAAATACTTCCAGCTTTCAATACTTTCAGCTTTCAGTCCTTCTTTTCCACCTCTCTTCTGTCTATCTCTCAGATTGACTTGTGATGACTTATTAGTAATGACGAAACCCCCTGTAGGACCTTTTTTCTTATTAAACATCCCATTCTCTTAGTAAAACTTTTCATGCTTTTTTTCAAATTAAAGGGTTAGTTCACACAAAAAAAAAATGAAAATTCTGTTATTAATTACTCTCCCTCATGTTGTTCCAATCTCCCAAGACCTTTGTTCATTTTCAGAACACAAATTTAGGTATTTTAGATTAAACCTGAGAGCTCCCTCATCCTCCATAGACAGCACCAGACCCAAGATGTCCAAATAAATTTTAATGAAACATTTTATGTGCTTTCAGAGGCCTAATCATGTGAAGCTCCAAGAACACTTTTGTACACCAAGAGAACTGTACAAATGACTTTGTTTGTCATTAGCCCCTTTCACACAGTGATACCGGTAAATATCCGGAAAATTTCCGGAACTACTTTACCGGTATATTCAAAAAAACGCTGTTCACACAGGCGAGGACGTTACGGAATTTTTCCGGAAAAGAGCATTCACACATCCATCGCAAAATGCCAGTAAATTCTGACATCATTAACCAGAAATGACCTCTAAACGGCTGCGCTTGTGTTTGTAAACATTTGACTACATTACAAACTCTTCGGATGGATCAGTAGTGAGTACAACTCTAATGAAAACATAGGGAAACACTTTCGCATGTCGAGATGTTCATGATATGCGTGTGTGCTGGCGCTATGGGCACTTACGGGCACACGCAAAGCTTGAAGGTAAACAAACAACGGATTATAAACATTTTATCGATAATTATTTACACAGCATTAAGAAGGAACATAGAAACATTATCTGACTAACATCTAACAGCTAAAGGTGTCTGGAAAAAATATTCAAAGGCTTTTATTCTCATAAATCGCGCGCACGTGAATGCGTCTGACTGTTCTGATTGGCTAAAGCAGGTGTCTCACGTCAGCCCGTTCTAGACGTAGACGCGCTTATTACGGCAATCTTCCTTCTGCATTCACACAGCGCAGCATTCCGGCAAATTACCGGTAATGTTACAACTTCTCTTTCCGGAAAATAGCCAGAACGAATTTACCGGTATTTTCAAAAAGGGCCTGTTCACACATACAACCTTTCCGGAAAATTGCCGGTAATTTTCCGGAAAGGTCTGTATGTGTGAAAGGGGCTATTGTCTTCTGTATTTACTAAAGCGTAATTCGACACTTGTTGCTCTGCTAACTTGTCAACTTTCTAGTAGATGCACATCTTGTGCTGACGCTGAAGAAACGACATTATTTATGACAGTTTTTTAGCCCACATAAGGGTTCTCGGAGCTTCTGTTGAACCTCTGAAGACACACATATTGTTTTTGGTCACTTCTCTGAACTTAAAATATCTTGTGACCTGTTATCTATGAAGGATGAGGGATTTCGTCTACAATATCTTTATTTGAGTTTCGAAGATTAACATATAAGGCAACTTTATCAAAAGTTTTAAAAATAAAACAATTTGGGTGAAATAATCCTTTAATTTTTGGGTTGTATATGTAACAGGACATTTTGTTGCTGTATTGACCAATATGTGCTCGAAGTTAGTCAGTTCCGCAGAAAATTGTGATTCAAACTCATCTGCTTTTGCTTTGTGTCTTTTCTCCTGTTTGTAGTTTAATTAGAGAGGTCATGAACTGAAAAAAAAAAATTATAATTCAATAATTATTGAATTTATTAAACACATTTGTATATGATTAAATATGGTGACAATTTTAATAAAGTTTCAGAGCATGTCACTGCATTATAATGTGGATTCATTAAGAAACAAGGCTCAGTTCAGCACTGAATTTTTTAGAAAGAGACAGTGACTTTGCAAACAGTTATGCTGCACCACAATAATGTGCGAGTAACTGTTTTTATCACGTCTACTGTTGCTTTGTCTGTTTATACAGATCATTTGATATATAATGACTGACCAGTTATATACTTAACACAGCAGCAGCAGTGTCCATCTATGAAGAATGCGTGCTGTCATACTGTACATGCAGGAGTTTACATTTGTGAACAAAAAGCTGTTCTTTTTAACTAGAATTTGAATTAAAAAGCTAACCAATCAGTGGGCTACAATCTACCACTTCTATTTATACAGTGTTTTTAAACTGTATATAAAGCAGTTCATGGTCCCTTTAAAACAGTTTTTGTCTTATCCTTTTCATAAATAGCTTTCCCTCTATTTAGGAATACAACTAACTAAATTGATAAATTTATTATTAAAAGTTGTAATGTTCTCAAAAGCAGTTTTGGGGTCAGTGAGATTTTTGGATGGTTTTAAATGCCTCTGAAAGGCAGCTTTATTATGATAAAAATATTGTCAGAAACTGTATTCTTTAAATATCATTAGCGCTGTTTTATTAAATATATTTTAAATTGCAGGTTATTTTTATGATGCTAAAGCTGAAACAACATTATTACAAGAGTGTTTAGTGTAACTTGATCATACAAACAGGCTGATTTGATGCTTAATAAATATTTATTATGAGCAATGTTAATAAAAAAGTCTGTAAAATTTATGAGAAAATTCCTAAGTGTTGTTACAGGATTCTTTTTTGGTGAGTGGAAAGTTCAAAAACACCATTTATTTGAAATATATATATATATATAAATATTTTTTTGTATCATTGTAAACATTATTGCTACAGTATATCTTTACAGTAACTGTGTTTATTAACAATAAACTTTCTGCTGAATATGAATATCAATTTCTTTCAGGGTTTAATAATAATAATAAAAAAAAAAAACTTTTTGATCCCACACTTTTGAAGTGAAAGCAAATTTATTCTTGATGAACCCTTCCAAGGGTGTAGATTTGCTCTTGACGTTGGTGGGAACATACATCCATATAGTGCATGCAAAGAACAGCACATATTCTCTTTCCTGCTTTTTAAAACACAACACTTAATAATACGAATATTAATTAATAAAACACTACAATCTGGCATTGATATTTGATTTAACCCTTTCTGCATGGCTAGGTTACTAAGGGTCGACCGAGCATTATTTTATTTTGAAGGTGATTAAATTATTGGTGGGTACATTTCAGTAATTACTGGATATTGGTGGGGACACATCCTCTCCGTCCATGCCAAATCTACACCCTTGAACCTTTCTATTATTGAGATGTTTTTATTTTTGTTAATTAATTGCGCAGTTACCAATATTATAAAAATATAATCCACCTTTATATTAGAATTGATGTCTGACGTGTTTAAGATAATGTAGGATCAATTAATTACAAATTATGAGCTATTGCTGATATTCTAATAATATATTATAAAGAGACAGACCATCCAAATATTTTAATCTGCCATCATTTATTCATCATTATTCTAAACCTAGTTGCCTTCTTTCTATGGAGAAAATGAAGAAATATAAATAAAACAATTGGTATGGAAACACACGCAGGCACGCACACACACAGTCGAAGCCAGAATTATATTATTAGTTGAAGTCCCCCCTTGATTTTTTTCTTTTTTTAAATATTTCCCAAATTATGTTTAACAGAGCAAGGAAATTTTCACAGCGTGTCTGATAATATTTTTCCTTCTGGAGAAAGTCTTATTTGTTTTATTTTGGGTAGAATAAAAGCAGTTTTAATTTTTTTTAATGAATCATTTTAGGGTCAAAATTATTAGCCCCTTTAAGCAATTTTTTTTATCGATAGTCTACAAAACAAACCATCATTATACAATAACTTGCCTAATTACCCTAACCTGACTATTTAACCTAGTTAAGCCTTTAAATGTCACTTTAAGCTGTATAGAAATGTCTTGAAAAATATCTAGTAAAATACTGTCTACTGTCATCATGGCAAAGATAAAATAAATTAGTTATTAAAAATGAATTTTTAAAACTATTATGTTTAGAAATGTGTTGAAAAAAATCTTCTCTCCGTTAAACAGAAATTGGGTAAAAATTAAAACGGGGGCAGATAATTCTGACTTCAACTGTATGTAAATACTAAGCGGTGGATGACTGCATTAGAACAAGAAATAAAACAATTAAGGATGACTAAATAATGGCAGAATTTTCATATTTGGGTGAAAAATACCTTTAAATACAAACTGAAACATGTAGGAGGCACATTCAGTGACTAAAATATGCAATAACAGCATCATTCAACAAAATGTTTTGAGTTTTTTTTGGTGTAGTCCGACCAAATCTGAAGCTAGAAAACCCCCCCGCAGTTTTTGCCACTTGATGTTGCTATGCTTGTCTAAACAGGTGGAACCCTTTCAGTGGCATCACTGAGCTGGTTAGTAATGTTCTTCAGCCCCAGTCAAAGTCCCCCAGTGAGGAGGAGCCGAAGCCGTAAGTACAGTGGAGGGCCTTCATACTGACAAACCTAGATAGTTTGATCCCTGTGGGCCAAGCACAACTGCTGAGCTTTAGTGATTTGACCTCCATATTATCAAATCCAACCTTCTGTCCTGATTCATCCTACTGTGACCCAGTCTGTTGTCATATTTCCACTATTTTGCCTACATTTCAGCCTACATATAAAATTGTGAAACACAACTTGTGTTGCTCTGGGTACGTTCTGTTGCACATTTTAGATTACAAATACACTAAAGGGTGCTGTTTGCATTTTTGTGAATCTGAAGTACGTTACTTAGGGTATATTTTGTTGTACATTTCAGATACATGTCCTTCTTGTTAACATTGCACATACATGTCTGTCTGTCTGTCTGTCTGTCTGTCTGTCTGCATACAAATCACCAATAGAACAAATTTGATTACAAATTATAGACATCGTTAAACTGTTTTGTGGTGTTTATTTGGTGTTTTTTAAAGAACTATGTGAAAATGATACTTGATTTATTGAAATAATGTCCCTATAAATATAATTTTTTTGTAAAAAGGAACAAAAGTTGTTGGCTTCATATTGCACTGAAGTG